CGTCATCCTATGGTCAATCCAGACGCAACTACTCCCTCAGATCATCGCCAACCGAGTGTCCTTGATCATGACGAACCGACGCCGAGCGAGACACCTGAAGTGGGGGCTCGTGGTCTGCATTCTGTTTGTCAATGGCGCTGTCTGCTACATCTTCACCGTTGCACACCTCGACACTGCTACACCTTCGCAGAAGCATACGAATATGATATTCGAGAAGTGTGAGAAGACGTTCTTCCTCATCATCGACCTGGCACTCAACATGTACTTCTTGTACCTGGTGCGGTATCGTCTGATTGCCGATGGCCTGAATAAATACTGGAGATTGTTCAATTTCAACGCTGGAATGGTGTTTATCTCGACATCGATGGACATCCTTCTTCTGGGATTCCTCAGTCTACCAGATCCTTATCTGTAAGTCTATTACGCACGAGGGGCAGACCTTTGCTAATATTTGAACAGATACGTCCAATTTGCCCCTCTTGCATATATCGTCAAGCTCTACATAGAACTTCTCATGGCAAACCTAATCTCCAAGGTCGTTCGAGGTACCTCTCGTAGTCAGGGGGAGGGATGGTATTCTAGCAGTCGGGACAAGTCAAACCCAACAAACTATGGTCTGACGTCCCGTGTAGTGGTGACTACCGGTCCACCTGTCCCTACCCGCGGAAGCAACATCATGAGTAGAATGGGTAAAGATGGTAAAGACCTAGAGAGCAACGAGGGAAACAACGGATCACAAGTTCATCTAGCGACATTCCCGGAACCGCATGGTATCACCAAAACTGTTGAAACCACAGTGGTAGTGGGAGATGGAGAGAGTGATCGGACCTTTTAATTGAGTGGCGGAGGCTGGCTACCGATATCGCAATTTTATAGGATCTCGAATGTTAGTAACTAAGGAGCTAGTGTTTAGCCCATTATAATAAGATAATGTGAATACGCCGTAGATTCACTACTACATCAACATTCGGATTCGTTGATTCATCTCGCATTGCTACAGTGAAGCCGTTTAAATATTAATGCCATTTGAGGTAACAGGGACCGCGTCAACCACGGTTTACACGCCAAGGTGAGTAGAGCTGAGATAATTTATTCGGGTGCTAATCAAAACTATATAAGAACACGGTTACATCCACTGCTCCGGACATCCTCAGAAAGTGACAGGGAGGTCCACGATTCCAACATCCCTGTTCAAAGGCGTGTAGTTGATCTTTTCCAATGGAACTGCGACCTTGAGATTCGGGAACTTCTGATATAGTGTTGCTGCAGTACGTTAGCCATAGTCATCTCAAACGTTGACGATATGTATACATACAGAACACAGTTGTGAGTTCAGCCTTTGCAAGATGCTCTGCGATACATCGGTGATCACCGAAGCCAAAGCCGAGAGGATCTTGAGCAGGCCACTTGCGATTCATGTTGAACTCATCAGGATTCTCAAAGACTTCCTCGTCTCTGTTGGCTGACTGGTTGGATGCAATGATGCCTTCATTTGCACGGATGAGCTGGCATGGGGTCAGTCGGATTGGATCTTCCAGTCACATGAGTATGGTACTTGCCTTGTCACCTATCATGACATCCTCCTTGGCAGTACGCTTGATGGCTAGTGCAGAAGCAGTGTGGTAGCGACAGAGCTCCTCGACAAACTGAGGCGCAAGGGACGGGTTGGCCTTGAGTTGCGCTAGCTGATCAGGGTGCTGAGCCAGAGTAGCGACGCCCTGAATTTGTCAGTAAATGTACAATAGACAGATGAAAAAAACCACATACCAGTGCAATCATGTTCACCATAGTCGCGTTGCCGGCAACGAGAAGTAAGAAAGCAATCTGGACAGCGTCCGACTTGTCGATAGTTCCAGGCTTGACTTGCTCAGTGCAGAGCTTGCTAATGATATCATCCTTTGGCTCTACTAGACGCTGCTCGACAAGAGTTGCAAGGTAGTCAAGGAGTTCCCTATCGATTGTCAGGCCTGAACATGCTCAGATGGTTCTCAGTTGGACCTACTGGTTGGCGGCAGACGCTTCTCGGGCAGTGGAGCTACCATTTGTGCGAATGGCGTTCTGATGCGTAAGATACTCGAGATCCTTGAAAGGAACGCCGAGAAGTGTATAGATGATCTAGATCGATATGAGGCATGTCCTTTCAAGAATGATCTGCCGTGACTTACGTAGGAGGGGACAGGTAGTGCAAACTCTTTCACAAGATCAATTGGACCATTAGCACCCCCCTTCTGCTTCATCTGCTCCAGTAGATCATCGACCGTCTTCTGGATGTAAGATTGCAAATTCTTGACAGCCTCTGGGGTAAACGTCGGTTCTACCATGCTCCTTCAATCTGTGTCAGTCTGCCCCCAGAAAGCAAGGATAATGAGGTGCTTACCTCTGATGCATGTGCTCTGGGGGATCCATGTCGACAAATGTCGGCTTTGCCTTGGCTGCTTGCTTTCCACCGGCGCCAAGCTCAGGAAAGCCCTGGCGAGTGCGGACCTTGAGTCAGGTTAGGACCAGCAGGGTCCATCAGATCATATCAGATCATACCTTGGAGAGCTTGTCAGAAGTAGCTACCAAGCAGACATCTTTGTGCTTAGTGACGAGCCAGGCGAGAGAGCCATCAAAAAGCTTGACTTGAGAAACAGGATTCGTAGCTCGAAGTTTGGCAAACTCGGCGGGTGGCTCGGGGCCAGAGGCGCGTGAGAAAGGGAAGCTTGGTGCGTCAGTTGCCATGGTGTAGGTTCTGTTGAAACGCTGTAAACTGAAGAGTGCTCTTTTGTTGCGGAGTGCGAATTGAAGCTTTGTAGTAGCCATGGCGATGGGAATAACGATGAGAGATACTGGAGGGTTATATTTGTTGGAATCGATGTGGAGTATGGGTATAGAAGTATTCCATATTCATCCGTATTCGATGAGATCACGAGATGCAATTGATTTCCAATCAAGTTCCGATCTGTCTCGGCTTATGCTTGACGATGGCATTTCCGCTGCATGGGCAATCTAGCTGACGAGTCGGATTGTTAGGTTTGTAGTGGGTGTTACAAATATCGGCGTTATTACTTGTCAATGCATTGATGGTCGTACTGCTCGGGAGTTCACGGCCACGCAAAGACGTTAAGCATCTTCCTACTTTATGGACTTTATTCGCAGTAAAACTTGACCAAAATCCTTCTTGCTCCCGTTATTGAAGTATGAGTTACTTTGGATACCATTCCACACTTTCCTCTCAATCAAACTTGTTTTGTCCCTTCATGTTGTATTTGCAAAATTGCGCAAGAAAATTCCATGATCTGAGAACGAAGCCTGTCATTCCTTGGAGATGCTGATTCCCGCGGAGATGCGCAAACGCAGCCTTTAAATACCTACGACAAAATGATATGATTACATGATCTGTCATCAAAAAGCATCCCACCCACTAGGAATATATTCATAGTGCTATAAGCAGCCACATGATTCGACTCTTAGTCAACCCACGTCATATACGCATCTGGCTGGAATTTGCCTTGTTCCGCCTCCTCCGTATTACTAGACATCGCGAGTTGGTGATTGAATATAAGGAAGAATACGGAGACAAAATTACTTCTTCCTACATGTTCCGACTCTTTGTCACGATGGCCGTTTACAGAGGGTAATATGCCCGAATGTCAACCCGAGCCTAGACCTTAGCCCGAATACGACAACGCGTCGTTCTTCGCAAATTAATACGTTCCCTGCTCTGTCTAGTTTCGCCGCATCGGAGATCGTTAAGAATGAAGTATGAATAAGGTAGGCAACCTAAGGGAGGCAAGAAAACCTAGGATCTTGATCCGAAGTGACAAAATCTCTTAGGTAAATCTAGCCTACGCTAAGGGGACTCTTTATTATGTTTATTACATCCTATCTTTAAGTCTCCAGTCTTACTGCTCCCTAAAGGTAACTCTATTGAGTCACTCTTCTGCTTCGCGACCCTGGGGGACTCTTTCTCTCAGTGAAAGGGCTTGAATATGGCACTCATACTACATGAAAACCATGTTTAGCATGGCTCGCACTGGCCTTTAAGCTCCTCAAACGAATCAGAAATGCTGAAACGAATGATTTATATAAGAAATTTTATCGAGGAGTTTCGTTATCCTGGCTTTGCAACAAGCGTCGATTGTGTGAGTTTTAGGACGCAGATTCGAACCTCAAGGAGATACCTACGCTGACTATGGGTTATAAGGACGCAACAAGCGGCCGATATATATGCCTCAACCACTCGGGGTTGAGATGATGGGCCAGTTTAAAGTCATTGAAACAACAGTCATTTCCAATATTGACTGATTGGCACTCCAATAGGCAGATGAAGGCCACGCTCAACAGTTGACACAGGTGTCCACCGAGTCTTGCATGGAAACCTGTTAGTAGTCGGCGTCTGATATGTCGAGGGAACGCCTGTTGGGCCTTGCATTGACAATATTGCTTCAAGGCCCGTGGGATAGAAAGTACTTGATGAGTTGTTGGGTTTTATCGGGTATTGAGCATTGAAGATATCGGGGGTCTTATCGAGATAAGATGGCGATTGATCGGCAACTAAGGTCCAGTAGATCCAGTTGCAGTCATGATGTCTCACAATAATTTCCCAACAATTTGTTATCGACAAGCTGCTCGACGAATGACGTCTGAGAAGCATTCAATCGCATGTGCCTTGTATACAACACGCATTTGACCGCCCAATGACACCACGATCCCTATACTGAGCCCTGTCACTTACCAACATCAGTGGTACCGACTACTGGAGGGCCTATCGGAAGTCTCATGCTCTAGATAACTAGGTTGAGTCTCCAGAACGCTAGGCCAATCCAGATATAGCCTAGGAAGGTGGAACAAGCCGTGTCTTAGCTTCACGGCGGAGCGGTTGCTGGGGAGCTTGGTGGATGATGACGTTGCTACCAGGCCAGGCCGAGGGCCCGAGAACTCAACGTATCACTACACATCGTCGGACCTCTTACTTAGTTCATCAAATCTTTGCAGTAGCCACAGAATTCAGAGGCACAATGGAATCTAAGAATCCATACGTCTTCCCTCTGAAACCAGAACAGTATGCTCCAGACCCGGTGCCTTCGCTGGCTGAATGGAAACAATTGTGGAGCGTCTGGGATCTCGTCACGACCAATATGATGCTGCCGGATGCGTTGATGGAACAACCAATTCCTCTGCGGAACCCGTTGCTGTTCTATCTTGGCCATATTCCAACCTTGTCAGACATCCATTATTTCATCTCAAACCTTGGCTAATACTGGATCTAGTGAGGACATTCATCTTGCGCGAGCAACGAACAGCAAGCCTACTGAGCCAGCATATTATCATCGGATTTTTGAGCGCGGCATAGATCCTGACGTTGATGACCCTTCTAAATGCCATGACCATAGCGAACTTCCAGACGTCTTCCCATGCCTTGGGGACATTCTACTATATCGAGAGCGCGTGAAAGAGCGAATCACATCGCTTTATCAAACTGAAAGACCCTACATAGATCGTGGTCTTGGACGAGCGCTCTGGATAGGTTTCGAACATGAGGGTATGCCTGTTCCAGCCAGCTGCAGGGTTTGTGGCTGATATGTCGTAGGTCTCCATGCTGAAACGTTCCTGTTCATGACTATTCAAAGTCCCAACATCCTTCCCCCTCCTGATCTGCCCAGGCCAGACTTCGCAAGGCTCGCAAAAGAAGCTGCTTCACAACGCCTTCAGAATCCATGGATCAAGGTGCCCCGGCAGACTTTGACCATTGGGTACCATGATCCTGAGAGGGATGAAGGGCCAAACAGATTCTTTGCGTGGGACAATGAGCGCGAGCCGTACGATATCACTGTTCCACAAATCGAGGCACAAGGTCGACCGGTCAGTAACGGCGAGTATGCTAAGTACCTTGTAAACGTGAAGAAGCTTCAGATCCCCGCAACTTGGAGCAAGACGCGCGATGCCCGAAGTGATGAAGATTACACCACGTTCGTCGCTCGTCACAGTATCAAGACTGTCTGGGGACCTGTACCCTTGTCGCAGGCACTTGATTGGCCTGTGATGGCCTCTTTCGACGAGGTAGAGAGATACTCTCAATGGGCTGGTGCTCGCTTACCAACGCTCCACGAATTACGGAGCATCCACGAGTATGTTGAGCGTCGTCGTGAAGCTCCGGGCAGCAAAGTGAACCATCAATTCCATACCAATCCAAAGGCCATATTTGTTGACTTATCGGAGACCAATTCTGGGTTTCAGAATTTTCATCCAATGGGCATCACTCACAGGGGTGATCTTTGCGGACTGGGCGATACTGGAGGTGCGGCTGAGTGGACGGGAACTTTATTCGCGCCGCAACCGGGATTCAAGGCAATGGATATTTATCCCGGATATAGTGGTGAGTCTTGTCGATCCCTCTCCAAGAGGTTTCTACGTCATTCTTTTCTGACACAGTCCAGCCGACTTCATGGATGAGAAGCATCTGGCCGTGGTTGGAGGAAGCTGGGCCCTGCATCCTCGCATTGCAGGCCGAAAGAGCTTGTGAGTTGCGCAATGCTGAAATGCTAGAACCTGCTAATATTCACAGCCTCAACTGGTGGCAGAAGAAATATCTCTGGCCATGGGTAACGTTCCGTCTTGTACGAGACGTCGAGGATAGTGCACACGGCTAAATTTATGAGGTTATTCTGTGCTACCGACTCTCACTGCCGACATCATCAGACCGAGGTCGATGGCGGTATCTGCGGTGGCTTTGTGGATGCTTTGGCTAGTCCCGTGGTGACATCATACGATATGAATTGAGTTTGTAATGGATCTAGTCTTGAGATCGATTCTCGGATATACACGTTAGCAAACTGATCCTTGCTTCCTATTGATCCGGTTGGCACTTTTAGTGGGGACCTACTGTCCGCGTTTCCCGAAGGGATGGATGATGTTACGATTGCATTCCGTCGTACCAAGAGATCAAGCCACTTAAGCGAGGCGATCTTGCAGAGTATAAATACTTGGCAGCGGTCAAGACATTTCCCATATTGTGTTCTGTAATTACTCCAAGTTCTTAAAATCCTCATCAAAAGGCTTTCATATTATTGATCATGTCTCTGCCACGATATCAGACAAACACTCCCCTTCATCCAACCTTTGAGAAGGATATCCTCGACACTCATCTTATCTACGACTACGACGCCACAGACGCAGAAGGAAACCCAGAGAAATGGCGTTATGAGATCTGGTTCTTTTCCGACGACCGAGCCGTCTACGCCATTCATGGTGGCCCGATGGCTGGCCGTATCAATTATCAAACCGTAGCATACCAATGCATTCGACCAGGGGAGCTATGGCAAATTAACTGGCTCGAAGAGACTGGAACGATTGTTTCTCTTGTTTACGACATCACCAACAAGACAATCAGCGGCATGTTGGGTTTCTCAAAGGGCCATTGGGAGCATCCTATTGAAGCCCATGGCGATAAGAGAAATCCGACGGATTTCAACAGGTGGAAAGAGCTGGCGAACATTGGAAAGCAGACTGATAGATTTATTTTGACGGAGCAGGCTAAGATTCTGGAGGTGTTCAAGGGCCAGGGTGACTTGAAGCCTATCAAGGAAGAGGACCCAACGTTTTAGTGGAGAAAAAGAGGGCGTCATTGATTTTAGATATGTGTGCAACAGTGTATTAGCTTCCTTATAAAAAAAAAAGCGGATATAAGATACAATCTATAGAGCGGTGGACTTGGTGGGTTGAATGTGAATTCTCATCGTATCGTAAGATCTGAAGTGCTCAATTGACACCATGAATTGGTAACAGACTTAACGAATAGGATTTGCTGAACGACCGCCTGGGTCGTTTCTGATAAGAAATCCGGATAACTACAACCCCTGCCTTGCATGATGAGACCAACGGGTTGGTATCAGACGACAAAATATCGCAGTTCTGGAACCTTGCCTGAAGTGGTAGCCATATGCGCCGATGCATAGAGTCGGATGAGCTCCAGTATGACCAGATATATCGTGGTTTTAAAACAGGCCATAGACACTTTGTCTGTTCCACTCAAGGCTATCCGAAGCATTTCTTCAGTCATGTTATACCCGATGGCTTAGACTCGAAAACATTGATGTCTAGTCTAATCTTGAGATATAGCAAAATATCGACTACGCCAATGCATCGCGAATTATTGGATGAAGAAGACAAGAGCAAAGTTAGGAGTCCGCGTGAATTCTGTCAATGTTTACAACTATCTTGCTGTTTGACCACGCTGTCAGACTGGTCTGGGGGTGCATACACAAAGCCCCGCCATAATTGGAGCATGGTAAAAGAGCGAATTCTGAGCACGAGAGTCGAAGGCCTAATTTCCATGTCTCTTTATGATACTTTGCATCTTGAACCAAAGCTGAATCAAAAGCCAACTACTTGAGCTCTAAAACAGAGTCAACTTCATCCTGGGCAGTCTTCCAGCAGTCGCAATTCGGAAGAACGTGTTCGCTTTGTTGGAAACGCTTATGCAATCGATACTGGTCTCTAACTATACACCTTGTGAGTAAAACACCGTAGAGTGAGGTTGCCCAACTTACAGAGTCGATAGTAGCTCCTGCGGTTGACGTCGAACATAAGGTCAAGGATATCACTTTGAGTGTCCTTGCTTGAATTGGCGTAGACAGTCATGGCATACTTCCAATTGTCTCGTGCATGAAGTCTGTATCCAATAGCGTCTTCCTCGATTGCTTCGCGGACCGTCCATTGGGGATATTCTAAAAAGGTGCCATTCGAAGTATCGCCAAACATCTGATATCGCGCCCAGATAGCGTCGCCGTATCTATTCTCTTCAAGGGCTGAGATGTAGTCACTGGTCCAAGGCTCGACGAGCCCCCATTCTCGGCGATTGCTTTCGGCTTCCGATATCGAAAGGTCCAGAAATAGGTTGCCGTCCCTATCGCCGTAATTGAAGGTGTCGGCATAGCCAAAGCTGCTGCCAAGAGCAAGAAGTAAAAGGGCTTTAAGGAAGGCAGGGACCATTCTGCATGCAGAGTTGAGTTGCTCAGCGGATTCAAGGATAATTGCACACGGTTTTTGCGTTGTTTTGTCGAGAGGACGATTGAAAAGTGAACATTTTGAACTTGTTAAGAATCACTCAGGCGCACATGTTGACTTTAGGCAGCGACTGGTTAGTTGCATATCTGAGCTGATTTTGTTCGTGTTGGTTGTGAACTCGGATACTACGGCACGGTTATCTCGGCCCCCTCGGTACTTATCAACTACCTGGATAGGTATCTTTGCTACTAACAGCTACAACTTCCTGGACGCGCATATGGTATCAAAGAGGAATGGCAGGTTGGTAGTTGCGATGATCGATGCTCTAATATCATGTATAACCTTGATTCATGGTTGGAAGACCACAAGAGGTTGGATTGACTTGCTGAAAACTGTCGAAAAGCTCTAGGTTTCGTTAAACGAGGTATGTCACTGTTGATGTTGGTCGAGGCTGAAAACACAGAAATAACTTACCAGATCATGCGTGGTCAAAGCGCGAGGAAACATTACATCTACTCCGCACAAACCTGATATGAAGTAAAACAGGGTTTGAGGCCAACTGACAATTCTAAGAATGTATGAAAAGAAAAAAGACCCTCTTTATTCTATTCCATAATGTAGAATTATCTTAATGGCTTTTACATATAGCAGTAAAGGAGCAGTCTGGGATTTTAAATCTGCCAGCACAAGTCCATGTCCATAGCTTGTTCATCCAGGCAGGCTGACCAACCAATCACAGACCATTCATATGCTACAGCAAGTAGCAAAAACAAGATAACACAAAGCATTTCCAGGGATATTTATCAAAAATACAAAACATACAACAGCGGGGATTCGCTGGTCGTCACCGACCCAACTACTAATCCGCCCCTCACAGGCTTGACTATGGGAGAGCGGACGGGATCCCGTATTTTCCTGTAGGTATGGTCGTATGTGCTAAGGACTGCCAGCAAACAAGTCTATAATCAACAGTTTCTGCCTGTCTTGAGAGTGACCTTTGGCCCCATTCAATTACTTCCCAGTTAAGGTTGTGGGAAACAGGCCGCTCTGTGGGTAGTGAACTGAACTTATATAACTGCTATAGGTAGATATTATCCTTATGTTTGGGTAAAAGCTAAGTAACAACACCGTCACTATACATGTTCTCGATCATCCGTTACCCAGAAATACTCTTCTGAGCTACATCCCTAGCAAACTGTCCAACCTTAGTCAAGAGGTCGGCAACACTGCCTGGTACCTGACCAGAGTATCCACTGGAGATCTCAGTGGTGATGGTCTCGACCTCGTCGCAAACACGACCGTCAATAAGTGCCATCTGGCAGAGTCTGAGGATGCCCTCAGCAAACCTATCCTTATCCCACGATTGGGAACCCGTGTTCTGGCTCCATTCCTCGTATCGTTCATGACGACAGCTAACTGTGTTGCCTTCTCCCTGAGCTCAGTGAATCCAGCCAGGAGTGCAGCGGACTGTGTGTTAAGCGCATCAGCTGTTGCTTGTAGGACAGGAAGCTGTTGAGCCACTTGTTCAATGGCGGCGCGCCTAGTGTTGAGTTCGTTCTGTTGGTTTAGAACCTGCATGAGAGCGTGGTGGGAATTCTGAAGTTGATCCTGCTCAGCATTCACTCTGTTTCTGGCTTCTTCAACTCTCCGCTGATTATTCTCCATCTCACCCCAAGCCGGACCCAAGAACTGTAATGTGTATTAGTGCTGGCTCGCTTGGCACGTTAATCGGTCTTACAAAGAACGCCTTCCCAATGTCGTTGCCGATGTCAGGCACGTTGTCGTGTGCTTGACGGAGAGCATTAGAAGCATCCTCCAGCTGGCGGGAACATCTTTCAACATCATGTTGATATTGCTCCAACTGACGCCGGCCGTTCTCCCAGTCCATCTTAGTTTGCTCTAACTCACGCTCGATTTCCCGCTGCAACTGCAGGAATTCTTCCGCATGCAAAGACGCGGCCTGAACTAATCAGTATCGCGAATTCGGTGCTAAGTTTGCTTAATCACCTGTGTATAGATGCTATTGACCTGATCGAAACCAGTCTGAGAGGCAGCTTGAGAGCCTGAAAAGGCTCGAGAGCACTGTTCAAGGATCATCATCTTTTGCATGTCATCACCACCAGGCTCCCCACGGATGAAGACGGCAAGCTTGTACAGCTGAAGTAGTGCTACCTCAAGGCGATTGATGGACATGGATAGGTTCTCCTTGACACCAGATCGTAGAAAGGCATCTTGCATAGCGACCTTCTGCTTGAAGACCTCAAGCCTCCGAACCAGATTTTGGAAGGGCCCTCCAGCAGCCGCGAAGACCGCGTTTGCTTGCATAGCGGGTGAGAAAACTGGAGACCACCAAGGCCAGCCTGAGCCAGCATAGATTCCCATGGTGACGCAAAAGACATGATTGATAGAGAATTGAGATAGATGGGTAAATAATGATTAGCCTAAGAGGGATGAGTTTAGGAGCGAATTAGTAAATAAGTTGGGGATTAGTTCAAGCTTTATGCTTGTCCTTGCAATCTTGTTGAGGCTACCGACTTGCTGAACTAAGACCGTCCGTATGCGTGAGTGAAGAGGCCGAGCATACTACGAATGATGAGGGTATTCGCCAACTCCGGATCCGACGCCCAGCATCCCATCCTATCAGCGTCGGTAATCAGGGTTCCAGGCTCGTATCGACCGAACTATTTTACTAGCCGCACATTGACTTCCAAATTCGAGAACTGGCTTAGGATCCGCTTCTCAATATATTGGCTACTAGTTCCACATATCAGCCAGCCAAAGCAGATATCGACGCGTCACGCACACTTCAAATGCGGCATGCCATAACTTCGCCCAGCGGCTGAATATCTGAAAGTGAATCAATCAGCCGCAGAGACGATAGCTCGCCTTCGTGCAGCTCTAAGACAAATTAACTCAATGTGGAGTCGTGCACAAGACTATCGATTGATAGCACGAACTAGCATCCCTGCCAAGGTTAGCTGGATACACATATATGGATTAACGTGGGCTCTCTAGCTCCTGGCGCGAATACTGAAGGATCCAATTGCAGGTCCAGAGCGCTGAATTGATGCAAATATCCCTTTTCGGAAGATCAGCGAACCACATCGGCCAACGATTGCTCAGTATTGGGATCCCAGCCAGCCTTATGCAAATACTGTCTTAGCCGGGGATCTTTGGAAGCTGGGACGTCTAGTGATTGAACGAATTATGAGGTACCTTTCAATCGTTCGTAGCTGGATCTAGGACAGGCGAGGGGTAAAGGACTGCGACAGGCGACGGGGAGAGTCTGGGAGCCGTCTGCATGTGCTAGAGTGCGCAGGCCAGAAGTACTGATTTACGTTGAAAAGACTTAGGGACATGATACCTGGTGTTGCCCATTAGTGCAAACCGTCTTAATCGCAAAATTCTGTTGCAAGTATAAAGACTTGGCAAGATCCTACCCCATTGCGAATCCCAAGCTTGTCACTTTACCTTCCATCTATTTATCAAAGCATTCAAATCTGCCAAAATCTTTATACAAAGACATCTCGTATCAGAATGGCTCTCAACCAACGACAAGTCGAAGTCCTGACCAGGAGAGAGGACTTTGATGTAGTCGGTCGTATATCTGGGGAGTCAAAGGCATCTTTGTCTTCCCAATATCGATGGGAAAATATCGTCCTACCAGCTCCCGTGGCGTTGAACGCCCTTGGTGCTTGCGCGGTCGCCACTGGCTCTCAGAAGGCCAACATCACCTTTTCACCTCCCAAAGAAGGGTTCAAATACCTGAGGTATGTGAATGATTCTGACAGTAAATGGTATAGGACGAAAGTTAACTCGGCTCAGTGACTTTGCCGGTTTCAGGCTCCAGGCCAACCTCTCGAAATGTGTCGACCTAGGCCGATTTGCCTTCATGGAGACCGAAAAACAGATAGGCAAAATTAATATGCTTTCTGGGGCCTTCAATGGGACAGTAAGTGTGAAGAGAAATCTAGACTCATCTCCCTGACTTTCCTAGTTTGAGAATATCCTTGAAGCACTCTCCGACCCTGAAGGTGCTAAAAGACTGCTTAGACGGGAGATGGAAACTTGGAATCATGCATCTTCGGACTGTTTGAATTCGTCCAAGGAGATAGATGGCAAGTTTGGAGACTGGATTAATCATGCCTCTGAGCTCCACCAGGCCTGTGTTACAGCAGAACCAACTTCAGAAGACCAACAAGTCTTGAAGGACATTGAGTTAGCGGTCGCTGGGGCGTCGATTGACTATCAACAGAATATTTCTACTGGTCAATTGGAGAAGTGCTTGGAAGCCGCGACCGAGGCATTCAAGAGAGCTTCTGATGGATCCCCCAAAGAGTTAGTACTGCGACTGCCCAACCTTGCAAGACTTCAACTAATATGTTTAGCTGGGACGCCGTGGGCCGGCAGGTTGTTGAAAAGCTGACAGACAGCTTGAGCACCGCTCTGAACCAAGCCATGCCTACCCCAAGTGCAAGTAAGCCTAAGGATTCGAATGATCCTGCCTACAGCCAGGTCGTCCGGGATCTGATCTACTGGGAGCTGCTCAGCACTGCATTTGTTGGCACCACCGATGGCATTGCTTGGGACAAGGCTGGCCAGGCCACGACCTTTGCCGCGAAGATGCTTGCCCATTCGCAGAAGTCTTTCGGCTCTTTGGCCTCTAGTTCGGGACCTAGCCAACAGTACAGATCAGCATTGGATTCGGCTTGCAGGGTAAGGTCACTCTCAATACGTCGAACATCTGACTGATTTGTTTTAGATTGGAAATGGGATTGCGGCCGAATTAGAACAAGCTGGCAAGTCTATTGGATATACAGCACCCAGTAAAGACTCTGAGACGGTCAAATCTTGGCAGAGAGACTTTCTGAGTAACTACGCGACCGTGATTACAATGAACGCCACGGCCAAGTCTTTCCAGGGATCGATTGCAAACGGGGTACACTTCTTCGAACAACTTTCGACTGGCAATTGCTGACAATTAAACAGAGCGCAGTGCCAAGTCAACGCGATACCTCGGCTACCGAAGCAGCACAGGTTCAAGAAAAGACCGCCCAAGCTCAGGCAGTCCTCGAATCGGTCAAGATAAGGCTACATATAGCGACTGAAGCACTGGCTACCACACGAGAGACCTACCAAAACTCCACTGGGATTCTTGCTGAGCATCAAGGAAGACTTAAACAGGTCAACGCCAAGCTGGAACGTCTCGTGAACTCGAGCCTGGAAATGGTATGAATTTGACAATGTGATACCGGTATGTGAGCTACTAGCTAACAGACTATCTTAGAATGCGATCAAGGGAATCCTGGTCCAGGCGATTGTGACGATGGTGGAGATCAAGACAGAGATTGTGAATCTCGTACGATTCTTCAATGCCATCCCGGTAGCCATTAGATTTGTCACGGAGAAGTATGTCAACCCATATGTTGAGGCCATCAAGGCCGGCAACGACGGAGACAGTGTCGGGCCGTATTCTATGCTGGACTTTCAACGAAGTGTGAGTCAACCTTGATATGTAATGAACTGTTCTGACTATTCATCTAGTGTATCTTCAACAGCACCACGATCATCCGATCCTACTTCTCGACCTTTGCTGATTCTACTTCAATGTGGGCCCGACTGTCGCAAATGAGCGTCACACCTATGCTGCGCATGGTAGATGAGCTCTTATCTTTCGCTGGCATGGGGATGGACTCGAGAATGATCAGCAGGAAAGCAAATGAGACGCAGGAATTTTCCAGGAGGGCCATTGATGAAATTTCGAGGAAAGCGAAAGATGTAAGGACTAACATGAAATTCCTGGCCCCTTCCACAAAGCTGACATCCCTACAGGGACAATCGAAGACCATAGGTAACATGGAGACCAGGGTGTCTGAGACCAACGAGAAGAAGCGGACGCTACCTTCCGTCTCTCCTGAGATTGCCGCGGCCATTTCTTCTGGCGTTGAGAACTCTAAGATAGCTGCTCAGAAGGGTCTACGAACTGAAGCAGATGAGAGTCTTTTGGCAAAGTCCCTTGCCTGAGGAAATGAAGTTTAACAGGGCAATGTTGAGTAGTGACATTTTCTAGAATAACTAAATATCTAGATTTGCCTCCTTAGATATAGCCTAAAAAGGTAATAGATCTTATAGTTGAAAGTCGTTTAAAGTAATAATTTTTATTTTATTGTTTTAATTTTAAATATTTTATAAAAGTAAATTAATTATAGTTTTTATATTTTAAAATTAATATAAAGAATCCTTAATAATTTTTATATTTAAATATAAAAAGAAGTTTAATACATTATAAGTCTATTTATAGTAAAGAACCCCTTTAATTATATTAAGCGTTATTAATTCCCCTTATAGCGAGCCATTAAAAACTAAAACTGTTCTGAGCAGCTGACAATGAGCGGTCGCTGATTCTTCATTTCCACAAATACTGACTTACCTACCGCGACTTAATTAGCACCCTCTGTCCTGCGCTTAACACAATGGCATCCTGCTGCTTTCCACCACTACGGCCAAGGGGCAAGGCTACTCTACAATCTTGGTCACGCTCATATCACAGCGCGGTCGCAAGGTTCACCACCATTGATCGAAGGGGCATGCCTATCTCCTGCGATACTGGGATCATGATCGGCGAACTTGATGAGAGTTTTGTTTACGTTGAGCCTGAAGTTGGCAACGCTATTAGATCCGCAATTATCCACCAACTTGGGTCAGTCGCTTTCAACCATTCTGAAACGCTTCCCCTCCAATTTAATCACGATTCAAAACACTTTTCTTATAGTGAGTATTTCTAGTATAACTAATCCTGATGCTAATAATATGTTAGAATCTTTGCCGTTTCCTCGTATTGACATACGTCAAAACTTGGGTCAACCTGAGAGCAAGATTAGCTCTGCGACACTCTGGCTCTCCGGCAACTGGCACGCAATCACGCTTGACGGAACACCTGAAGGTCAGTATTCAAAGCAAGTATCTTTCTATTACGCAACTCTAATCAATTGACATTCTTTTCCTTACCTACAGAGGCCTTTGAACGAGCGTCGAGAGAAAGTGCTAGCAAATTAAAGGGTGCCTTGGAGAGATTAAAGCATAGCTAGTCATCACAGCTGGCAATATAACTCCATGTGAACCATACGGCTCTATATCTGCATTGACCCTCACTAGATAAAAAAGAAGAAGAAGAAAACCAACCAATACTGAGTTTCATAACACTGATATCAAGATCCTTAGGCCACTTGCGATTGCACTCAATCCTCTCCCCGATCTCACATGCGTGGCAATCACTCATATTGCACTTCATTCACTCTTATCTATATACTGTTGTGTTTTCGACGCGATAGAAGGGATCGGTATAGTAATGCTCCTGTAGAACGATACCAATTGCTCAGCGTCCTACTTGTTTGTTCTAACAGCGACGTGGGCGCTCTGTTGCTGCTGGTTGAGTTCGTCGCTAGTGAATAGCTTCTTCTAAAACTGGTATGTGTTGATGTTTAAGAATATATCTGCAGCTAGCAAAGCAACTCTTTTATTTCCATCCTGGTAGGCGTATGCATTTGTCAAGGCAGGTTTACAGGGGATGTATCTGAATTGGTACTAGCTAAATGCGAGTTGAGTGGGGAGTTCAGATTGTTGCCGAACGTCGGTAGTTGTATTGCCAATTCCCACTTCAGCTATTTGTTAATAGTTCTGGCTCCTCCATATCAATCGAATTTTCAAGGCATGATCAATGCAACGTCAGTTGCGCCCGAAAAGGCCAGCCCAGCATCCAATATTTTCGAAATTGCAGAACGCTGGGACCTGGGCGATGTAAGTTGAAGTTATATGCCCCTCCAAACCAAGACTAAGAACCCAATCTAGGATGTCTTTACCAATGTCTACGAGCAGTGGCTGCCTCCTGCAGCAAGGGGCATCTATGGCGGTACTGTAATTGCGCTCAGTCTCGCTGCTGCTCAAAAGACCCTAACAAGCGATTATCATATTCATTCTTGTCAGTGCACCTTTCTTCATCCTGGATCTGTTGATTGCCGACAAACATTTCATGTCACACGAGCTCAACAAGGTTCTGCGTTCGCCACGCGTACGGTTGAATGTCGCCAGCAGGACGAGACTATTTCCATTATCACCGTTAGCTTCACTCGAGAGACTGGCGACGTCCCGGGGGCTGTCGAGCACACACCTGCCCCCTTCGAAATCCCTGCTCCCCCAACAGAACTATGTGAAGAACAGCCAGAATGGACCTTGACAGAACCATTTCAGCGCCGTAGAATCGATGCTATAGATGCGCCGGCTTCTAGCAACTCCTCACATAACCGACGCATTTTCCGCCAGTGGTTTCGCTTCCCTGGAGTTATTCCTAAAAGCGGTGGGCCTGGCGATCATCTTCATGCCCTAGCCTTTTTGACCGACGGCTACTTCATTCTCGCGGCAGCACGCCTTCATCGTATATGGCGACTCCCATTCGCATTAGAAGACGTGCCATCATTTCCGCCCAAGCTGAGATCTCAAGTTCAAAGGGTCAATGAAAGTGAGGGCCTGGGTTCTACCATCGAGGAATGGGCCAAGCGACCGCGGATGGCTATGGCAGCGAGTCTTGACCATAGGATCTACTTCCATGAGCTCCTACGGACCAAGGCAGATGAGTGGATGGTTTCAGAAATGGAAAGTCCTTGGGCAGCTCACGGAAGAGCCTTGGTTGTCTAACGGATGTTTGCACAAGATGGGACTTTACTGGCTACATGCACACAAGATGTTTGACTTTCCTAATAATTTGACGATGGCGGCTAAGCTTGTATCTAGGGAATACTTCGACTCGCAGAGGATGATTTTCCTAATAGTTCTAAGATATGACTTGTGAGAGCTGGGGCTTATTTCTCCAAAGGATCAGGTGTCGTATCAGCAAGTCTCCAACATTCTAGCTCCTGATGGTAGAATTCATGGCTAGATATAGAACGGGAGCTGTACTGTTCAAGAACGAGGTTTCTTCATGCGACGTCGTAGGGCACTGGAGTGCTTAAGAACGAGCACTATCCCAAAGGCAGTGCCCCTAAGAATCAAGACCACTCGATTCGTGTTCCTGGTCACTTTTTGTCTCGGTATCGCAAGCTTCTTTTCAGTCATCGAAGCCACCAGCAGAACAAGCCTCAATGCCAAGTCTTTGACGATCTAAATCCACCACGATTTACAGTCTCTGTATCATAAAGATTTCCTCATTGAATCGTGGTATAGATCAGGATACGCCAGGTTTGTCTGACCGATGAACGTATGAGCCAGGGCTGCTTGTTCAGAAAGTCTTGGACCTATATCAAAGCGTGACTGTATTGGGGGAGAGGAAACAGATGTTGAGGATAGTGGCATTGATGTGTTCCAAATTCCAGAGCCTAGGGAGTGTGCCATGGATGCCGTTGGTAAAAATGGTGAACGGGAGTAAAGTGGCGGGTTTTGTATTGTTGGATATACGATCTGAGGGGTGTCTCTCAGTTGATTGTGCTCTGTTGGGGAGCGTTTTGTGTCCTGTTGGTCAAAGGAAAGTGGTATGTCGATTAGTGAATTCTGTGGCCCTGCTGGGCTTGCCGAATCTTGTGAAGATCTTGCCGTATGCCATTCGTCGTCCCCATAACCTGGTGACTTCTGTGCATGCCGTTCACTCGACTTCGATTCTTCCGGGTCCCCAGCCTCGTTCGCCAGACCAATTACCTGCGTAATGACATTCTGCACGTCGGCCGCCAATGCAGGATATTTTTCCAATATTTCCTCCTGTAGCATCTTGTCGGCAAAGTCTACAATCACCGTGCTCATTCTCTCAACCACGCCTTCGAGTCGCTTAAGCCTTTGCACCCTCGCCGCTTCAGCAGCCTGTCTCCGTTTCCGAAATTGTTGCTGTGCCTCTCTATTTCGTTCACGCCGGCTCTGAGCGTGTTAGTCTCGGGGAATTCGATATAAGCGTATGCAAGTTACCTTGCCTGCATCTGTGCCCACTGGACCAAGATAATTCGGACTCTTTGACTCCGACATCGTTATGTTAAATGTTACGTAAACCGAGTTGCAAATATTATAGAATTGGTCCGAAATTTGTTCAGGATCGGGACAACTAACAAGAGTGAATGTGTACGATTATGAGCTGCAGCAGAAACATAAGTAGACTCGCAGTCCGGTCAAGACGTGGTCCATCTGCGTGGCAGAGTCGGCAGCCAGAATGACCCCAATAATTCCAAACTGACCTCAATGAAGCGCCTGCAATGGCGACCTGACGGGCCAAGTCAGCAACTTTAACATTAAAATGGTGGCAGAGAAGCGTTTATTTCGCCCGAATCGGTTAGTAGTCATCTTGCTCCAACCTTACATCTAGAACTCACAATTCCAAGAGCCACTTACAAGACTCCATCTTTGTGGTTTCTGCATTTCGAATTGTGCCTCGTCACCGGCTGCTTCCGATTTGGGGAATTATGCCAAGTTAGCTGACTGTACCCATGCAAGTTTGTTGGCGAGCTAGATGGCCTTCATCATAAGCCGCGATTCGCGAGACATCAAGAGCGAATAGCGAGACACACTGCTTGTCATAAAATTCCATTTGTTCTCCGCCTTTTTCGTGGGAGTACATTCTGCTGCCTGCTCTCTGCCACTAAGAACTCTGGATTTCACGTTATTTTTGTAATTTCTCATCGCAGGTGTACGCGGTACATAGAATCTGACCATATATACCAGGGTCTTAGCAGTCTAGAACCTCCGCACCCAATGGCACTGGCAGAAATACGAGGCAAGCTTGGCACCCGCTTGTTCTGTTATGATGGCGCTCAGCTTTTTGCACGATAGCGACGTAAGCATACAGAGATAAATCATCTGCCTTGATTCGGTAGAGAAGAATGCATACGCAATACGATGGCTAAGGCGCTTAGGCAGCCTCTTAAAAAAGGTTAAAACCGGTTTAGCTACCGGCTCACCGCCGCAAAGAATAAATCCACTGGTAACTATAGCATCGGCCGCCTTTGTGGCTTTTGTGATCAACCCTGGTCCGACAACTAATCGCTTCAAGAATTCGGATATAAGGCTTGGCTGCATGATACGTGGGACTCTTCTGAAATAGCTTGATCACCTTGTTTGTCTTTTACAATCTGACATCATCCCCCAAGTAAGCAGAGACTTCAGTCTTGTTGATACTACTGTGCCTATCATTACCAAAACTACTTCACGTACACGGCATCCAGAACCGTCTGGAATCCCTTCTCAACCTCCTGCCTTCGCACATTTCCCTTTGTAGCTGTTCTAGGAAGCGTCCCCTGCGGAACAACAACTATGTATCGCGTATCGTCGACTCGCTCATGTGTATACCTTCGCTTATGAAATGGAGTGATCCGCTCCAGAATATCTTCTTTCAACTGCTGCGTCGAATCCCCATCATCAGTATCGTTGGCGCTTTGTAGACACTCTTGCTTTGGCTCAACAATTATAGTAGGACAAGGGCGCCCGACACCGACGGCAACCACTGCGCTGACAAGATCCTCGCCACAGGTCTCCATGACATTAGCCTCTATAGACATGGTATCGCATCGCAGGGAGGCTTCCATCTTGATCCAGTTATCGTTGCGTCCCCTGAAAAGATACTTGCCAGGCTTGACCTCAACGAACAAGTCGCCTGAATGAAACTTGCCATCGGCAGATCTAAAGCTGGGCACTGGGCAATTGGCCGCCTCTGGGGGCACAACTAGCTCAAGTAGCTGCTCGCCCGACGCCAGCGGATCTCCGATGGGGATAAACTCGTTTTTGGCAGTAGGGTGGCACTCAAGGTAATCGTCGTTCTTCCTAGCATCTGTCATCAAAGCAAAGCCCATTTCTGTGGAACCAAAGACATTGAACATTGAGATTCCGTTCTTGCGCGCCCACTCCAGATCTGCGACATCGAGGCTCAAGCCGCCAGAGCCTGCATTGTCAACCTTTTTCAGAGACGCTAGGAGAGATGGATCCTTGCGTGCTTCACTGAACAGGGCAGATAGAGCAGGCGGGAACAGGTATACACATGTCAAGCCATGCTCGTCAAGCATGGTGCGCACTTCGGGGACCGGAGCAGGGAGAGTGCTTGGGATGATGACGCATGAACCTTCTTTGGCAGCAATCCAGCTGAAGGCAGATCCGGCAAGGTGACAGAAGCTTCCCCTATCAATCCATCAGCAGGCTACCACTTAGTGACACTCACTTTAGACTTACATGTGGACACTAACCATCCTCTCCCTCTTCTTGTTTGACCGCTGCTCGAAAAATGTTGACAGATCTAGGGTGTAGTTGACCCATCGCGCAGTAAGAGGTACTAGTTTTGGTATTCCTGAAATCGAGCCAGACGTGTGATAAATGAAGAGTACATCGTCGTCATTGCTGGGATGCCAGGGGGTCACTGGAAGTTGCGCTGTATCCGTGTTTAAGTGGTTGGCGCTGGCTGGGAATGTCGGCACCGGGCTATCCTTTAAGAGAGAAGTGTTGTCTGGCTCATGCAGTAAGGCCACGGCGCTGGACTTCTGCAGGAGCTCATAGATAACAGTTGGATCTGTCATGCGCAGAGACAACAGCTGAGGGATGTATCCTGCCCAGTTGAGACCCTGGATATGGACGGTATCTGAGTAGGCATAACCCCTCAACCTAGATGGGGAATCAGCTGATGATGTAGTATCATGATCACACCAACTCACCAGACACCGACAACAGCCCTATCTTGAACGCCTAGGTTAGAAAGCTTGTCCTTCCAATATTTTGCCGTCTGCTTAACATCCCGCTCGAACTGAGCAAAGGAAACGTCTTTGAACTTTGTGCCTTGAGGAGACTGCTCTGGGATTTTGAAAAGTGCCAGATCTGGATGCCTCTTGACGCTCGCTTGAAGCCCAGAAGCCGGAGTCTTGAAAGTGCTCATGATTGTCGATTGTCTTGCCATTGCTTGCTGATAAGTAACAACCCAGCCATTACAGAAACCGACTGCCCTTTTATAGTCAACGACTTCATCAACTACCACTCAACATGCTTCCGGATAGATCGGTACGGCCCGTATAGGTTTCCTCGCCATTAATCTTCCTAAGCGGGAACAAGATCATCGAAACGGTACACCCGCATATACGGGTATGCAGTGGAGGTGCCTCGGCCCCAGTGATCTTCGTCGAAAGGTTCCAGAATGAGACGACTTGCGATCTCTGAAACGGTCGAAAATCACGCGCACGCCCATAAATTAGCTGCCGAAAGCTTATCCAGTGCTCTAATTCCTCCTATAGGGTGCTGATATTAGGCGCTCGATGCGGTGTGATTTTCGCATAATTAACAGATGCGGATATGGTGACCCTTTTTTCGGTTTCCATTACGTATACGAAATATGATGGTGATGGTTTAACGACGTCTCCTTGCCTTGCCGTATAACCGAGAGGGTGATCGGGAAATAGAATATTTTCCGGGTGGATTATATGTATGCAAATGACTCAAGCAGTGATATAAGTTGAGTCAGGACGATGGATCAGAAGAGACTGAATCCTTGAATATTTAGCATGGAGGTCCATAGCTGTAGGAGTAGTACTCCACCAACAACAAGGTGGACTTAAGGAATACCTGAGAACAATAAAAGCATGTCCATGGAAAACAGATCGATTTCATCTTGTCCGCGGACAAATTTTTCAATTTGGATTATGAAAACTGACAACTCTGGTTAATTACCTTCCTAAATCGAATGCTGATGTCAACGCGTTGTGATGACGAATGCAAGGATACTCACGTGGCAACGCGTTAGCCTGCTTGTTTCATTTTAACGATCGTCTCCTCTTCATCGAGTCATAATCAACAAACAAACAACATCACCATGGACAAGCACTCACTCAACCCGCCTGAATGGGCCGAGCCGCGCAGAAAGTCACGCATTAACAAATGGAAGCTCTTCGGTGCTGGTATTCTCACCGTCGCGGCATTCCATTGGCTCGCGCCTAGCTGCCCTCATCGCCAACAGCATCATCACCATCATGAGCGCACGACTTACCCAGGCGAGCTTATCGAATGGAAGCCTTGCGGAGAGATCAGCAATCGCTCTGTAGAGTGCAGCAAGATTGACGTGCCGATCGATCAGTTTCATCCTGATGCTAGCAACAAAACCTTCAATGTCCCCATTATTCGCATGCGGGGCAAAGATGGAAGCAAGAACATCCTGCTCAACCCCGGTGGTCCCGGCGGCAGTGGCTTCGAGTTTCTGCACAGACGTGGAGAACAATTGAGTGCCATTGTCGGCGACGGCTTTCACCTTGTCTCGTTTGACCCCCGCGGCATTAACTCCTCGTCCCCCCGCGCGTCATGCTATCCCAGCAAAGAGGCGCGTCAGCAACTTGGGTCAGTGCACGATATCGATATCATCAAGGATGGCGCTGAGATTTATGCCTGGACACACAATTATGTGAGAGCCTGTGAGGATACTATGGGCGAGCATGGGAAGTACATCAATACTCCCCAAACAGCTGCCGATATGAACAGCATCCTTGATGTTCTTGGTCAGAAGGATATGTATTACTGGGGGTTCAGCTACGGAACCCTTCTCGGCCAAACTTACGCGACTTTGTTTCCTGAGAGGTCTCACAGGGTTATCATCGATGGAGTTGTGAACCAATTCCTCTGGTACCAAGCTCGCTTAGATATGGAGGACCTCAATGACACAGAGAACGTCATGGATGGTCTCCTCAAAGAGTGCATCAAGTCCGGTGACGCATGCCCCCTCTCATCCATGGCAGATTCTTGGGAAGGCCTCAAGGACAAGTTCCTCTCCTTCGTTGGTGAACTGAAGGAACAGCCGATGAACGTGTACGTCAGCAACAGCATCTACGGTCTTCTCGACTATCAGAAGATCTGGTATGGTGCACTGTTCCCGGTTCTATACAAGCCTCAGTTCTGGGGCACGTTTGCCGAGCGTATGGAGAAGCTCATGAACGGTAACGCGACTGAGGCTCTCATGGCTTATGGTTTGGATGATGGCGAAGACAGCGATGCGCTCTACACGGTTTCGATGAACGATGGTCTCGCGGGACCCCTCCACTGGCCACAAGACCTCGACTCCCTGTTGGATATTGTTATGCCAACATTTAACCGCAGCGTTTTCGCTCCCGATGATCTGGTTTACCTCTTCGCCAAGCAGCAATGGCGTATTCCCAAGACGCATAACTACGTACCACGAAACGGTGTCGAGACAGCACACCCTCTGCTCATTCTCACCACAACCTATGATCCAGTCTGCCCGCTTGTCTCCGCTAGATCGGCTGAAGCTGCATTCAAAGACTCAAAGATTGTCGAGGTCAAGGGATACGGCCATTGCTCTGTCGCAGTTCCATCGCTCTGCCTCGCCAAGCACGTCAGGGCCTTCCTCTACAATGGAACTTTGCCTGCTAATGATACGCAATGCGAGGTTGATGGTCCTTACTTTAAACCCAATGGTACAGCGAGCGTCGTGAGCTTTGAGGATCCTGAGGATCAGGCCATTCATCTCGCACAGATGGCATTGGCGCGTGATCCCGAGTGGCCACGCCGCGTGTAAATTTATCTCGCTCACATATGATTGACGTTTACTCCCTAGTTAATGCTGTAGTGCCTTTATTGTTGTATAGTCTGACTTGGCCAATTGAATTTTTGGGATCAATCTCTGAATTGCTATGACGTAGTGGATCCAAAATTTCACATCCGTCTGTATGTCCACAGTTGACCTAGGGTAAGCTTGCCGTACAATTAAATTGGTGTTGAACAAATGCTTTCAGGGTCTCACTGACGTACTATGCATCTGCAAATGTACGACTTAGACTGTAAATTCACTTTGGGATTATCACTTTGAGTATGGATTCCCTCTACTTAAAATCAAGACATGAACCTAGGTAAACTGTTTATACTTCAATTTCAATAAGATCCACAGAAACACACCCCTGAAGAAAGGACAGGTATATATCTTTGCTTGCTCTGTTTAAATTTAGTTCTTTGTAGCGAGCTGTTGTTTGGCATAATACTTTCCCTGCGAGGAAGCCAGAATAAATGGCTACGGGGGGACGTATAATATAATACTAGAGCTCAACTTTCATGAATTGGTCGCGTGGCCCAATGGCAAGGCGTCTGACTACGAATCAGAAGATTCTGGGTTCGATCCCCAGCGTGATCATTCTTTTGTCTTCCACTACAGGCAGTGAGTTTCAAGACTTACTTTTTGCTGTTCCATATCGAAACTGACTTAATAAAATCAGATGTAAGGCTTTTAGATTTATTCCCCTCATCATTAAACCGATATGCTTAAGTTTAGACAGGAGTTAAAATCGCTCCATTTCGCTCAATCGAGTATCTCGTATTGAGTTCGGAACAGGGATCGACAGATGAAACGTCACCAGTTGCTTTAAAGTTTCTTATCATCTACCTTGTTTTAGTACGCGGCCCGTCTGCAACGTTAATTGCTAATCTGCAGTCTTCGTCTAGCTAACTGCCATGGAATCAAGGTTCAGGGGTGCAGCGATAATTGACCCTTTGGGAAACCTTATATGCATATCGGATGTACGGGTCCCTATTGATATGGTGGCAGAGGCAGACGTAGAGTGCAGCTTGGGCCAAGGGAAGCCTTTTAGTTAGCAGGTATACGCTATGTTTAAAGCAATCAGCTACTTGCAGCAATATGACAAGAACATTGGCCTCCTTCGACATCTTTTCTTTATTTTTCTAATTTTTTTGTTATTTAGTACATTTTATCCTCCCCTCCCACTAGTAGCTTCTCCATATAGCATCCCAAAGCCCTTTCTGGGCTAGTATAACAAAGTCTCAAACGTACTGAAAAACACAGTTGCCGAAAGAGTTCACGTTCTGGTCTGGAGGGCAGCCAGTGCAGGAGTTGGTCCAGACATTGCCGCTCTTGATACCATCACTGCCGTATTGGCAGCTGTAAGTGCGGGTGCAAACGGCACCCATGTTGACTTTCGGGTCAGCGAAGGTTGCCTCGGCATTGGGGCAGATGAGAATTGCATTCTTTAAGTTCTGGCGAGGAGTAAGGCCTGGGAAAGCGGTGGCAACACCGAGGAGGGTGACAAAGATGGTTGAAGTGAGGAATTGCATGATGAAACTGTTCTGAGTATTAGAGGCTGCAGGTATGAGATATGATTCTGGATATCTTACGTCTGTTGCCAGTGAGTTGAAATGAGAGATTCAATGAGTGTTCCAAGTGTACAGAGATCTGTGAGACGGTGAGACTGTGAAGTGGTTTGTATGTTTTGGCCTTAGGAGAAGGGTTGGTACCATACTCCGTTTATATATTAATCTTGACCCTCTTACCAGAAATGAAATGCCGAGTCACCATCCCGAGAAACACTGCACATCTGATTCTTCACGTACCAGGCCGTGAGTTTGACTATCAGCAGATACTGATGCCAAGATGCTATAGCTCTTACCTTCACATCCTTCACGAGCTCGGACAACAGAATTCCTATCAACATCCTGGTTGCGCTAAAAGTCGACAGACTTGTTCATAGGCATGACAGAAGGATTGTAACCTAGTTCTTACAACGACACATAGTTCATTTCCAATATTCTCCTGATTTATCTCTTCTTTCGTTCTGCAAAATCTTCACGCATTCATTTTTATAAAGTTATGTTGAATTTCTAATAGTGAATGCATCGAAACTCCTATTTTAAGGTTCCTAAATAGAGTGGCCTACTATGATTTGATAGATGAGATGAATACATCCTATCTATAATATTAAGCCACGGGAACCTCGAACTGACCGTCAATGTTCGCCGTACTTTAGTAGGCTGTTCGTATTTGTTCTCATAGATATTCTGAGAGTACCCTTTACAATAGATAACCTTATTTAAGATTAGAGTTCACTAAATGAAACACCGGGGATTAGCATATCTTGCTTAACTTCCCCTGCCGCCATTCGTGGAAAATCAGTTTAGCTAGTTAAACTTGTTTCTAGAAATATCTCGTAATACTCGAACTTTAACCCTCCTAGCAGTAGTGGTATATACATGCGGTATATTTTGCTTCCCGGCTAAGATCGGCTCTTGGAATACCTTGACTTGTGCTTTGACTTTGAAACATCATTCGTATTCCTGGGTTGATCCCTGCGAGGCTACGAAGGTTAATTTGCTCCTTCCATTTTCAGAAGAATGATACGTCATGCTGTTAACCTTAACTTCAAACTGCAAGTCCGCGGTACCTACTATCCGTCCCGATAGCTACTTTCATGCGACTGCCGCATGCTTTGCCGCTGGAAGCTTTCTTCGAGAAAGTTTGATAGAAGGAATCCTATGGACCACGAAAAGGTTTTGCCTTCCTAATCGAGACATAGGTCTCAAGATAAACTCAGCTTTGGAGACTATCATCATCTCATTTTTACTTCCATGCTATTGGAATCGTAACACCTTCTTTCTAAGTCATCTCCATGGGGCTTATGAATGCCGAAAGACAACGAAAAGTTGTCCAGAAATGCCGAAGACTGATCATCCAGCTGTACGACGAGACGGCTCAAGCGTGGGGACTAGTTATCACGAGAAGTTCAGGAGAACTGGGCAGGTCTTGACGAAACGCGCAAGGCGACGAGGTAAAGGGTTGACGGAACTAACAGTCACTTGTGATTCAAACAAAGAGAAGTATAAGAAGGGGCTACCTATCCACAAACTGGCTTACTTCTATCGTCATCACCATCATCCCTTATCATCACCCCTTAAGAACCTTCACTCAACACCATTATCAAAATGCTTGTTACCAAGATCATGTTCTGGGCTTTTGCCACCGCAACTGCCACTGCTCTGCTTACCGTCAAGGACTTAGCCACCAAGCTTGGTATCTCAGAAACCGACATCAACGAGATCCTCTCTACGTCCGATGTCTCCTCCATCAATGTCAACAAATGGGCAGACTTCCTTGACGTCAGCCTCAAAGACATCACATCTTGGCCCCAGTCTGACAAGATCGCTGCCCTTGAGGACGTCAAGAAGAACCTCAAGACTTACATGGAATCTAACACCAAAATTGAGAAGCGTCAGGACAACCGCCAGAAGCTGCAGCAGGAAATTGACTCCAAGATCGCTCAGTATCGCTCTGAACATGAGGCTGATCACCGACGCCGACTCGCTGGCTGCCCTTCTGTTCGCTGTGGTGTCTGCGGCGCTGGGTTGACTGTCGCTTACGTTGCTGCCCTTACTGCCTGTGGAGCTGTTGCTGCTACTGAAGAAGCTATTTCTGCTGGTACTCTTACTCCTGCGGCTGTTGTTACTCTTGGTGCTTGTGTCTCAGCCGCCCACGGGACATATCTTGGCGGTTGGACTTTCTGTCTCGGCATGAAGGACTAGAAGAGCCCCTTGGCGAGCAGTGTTGTCTGCCGGTCAACTTCAGCTGCTAGACTCAACGGCGGCAATGATAGGGGCACCAATGTCCATCAGAACTCAAGCAGTGGAGCCTTTGGACTTTTTACATTGTTGTTGGATGAGTAGGATCTCTGTTGATGGCTGCCGATAACTGAAGTGGATGGGTTGTTTTTCTTTGTCTTTCTCTACGGTCGCTACTCCTTGCATCCTTTAGTGTGCAGTCCCTGTACTTTACAGTCTCTACCACCGTACTATCAATATTGAAAGGGCCTTTTCTCAACTAAAACCCATCTATTTGTCAGCTTCCGCAAAACAAATTCTGTAGTACTTGCCCAACGGCGCCAATTTTGGACGCCGGAGAGATAAATACTAATCGTAAGGCCATTCATCCCTATCAAATAGACGTCTGTATGAGCTATAGCTCCAGTGAACTTACGCAGTCAGAGTAGCAGCGCTGTAATTAACGGGGCTACATTTGGACCCGGGAAAGGAAAACGTCATAGTCACGATACTATCAGACCGCAGCTATACAGGTCTAGCCCGCTTACGTATCTATAGTGAAGCGTAGCAACACTCTCCTTGGCGGTGCTACTATTGGATGCCGAAAAGTATCTCGGAATACCGGCACCTCCAACAAGGATGATCCCCCACAAGTTCGGTTTAGAACAAGCCACATGGGGTCCGCTCGCCTGTAATTCCCCGCAAACCTGGAGTCTGGGGAAAACCTTTAAATAATTCCTGCCAAGTCCATTCTGTTGCTGCCATATGCATAACGCCAAGCTTGACAAGCCTCTATAGCCTTATTTTGATCTCACAGCTCAGTATGGACTTCAAGGCCGAGCACGAGGAGATGGACCATCTCGAAGAGAACATTGAGCACAATGCGCGTCTGACGAGGAGAGTTTTGTTCAAGACCGACACGCGGTAGGTTCATCGATTCGCCATCCGTCACCTGGCGCATCACCAACTGATCATGTTACCTAGAGTCCTCCCATCTCTTGCACTGTTGTTTCTATGCTCCTTTCTCGACAGAACGAATGTCGGCAACGCGAAGATTATCGGCATGGAGAAAGATCTAGGTCTCACCAATCTACAGTACTCCCAAGGCCTAGCCGTCTTCTACGCCACCTACGTCTTCAGCGAGCTACCCAGTAATCTAGTCCTCAAGAAAGTATCGCCCAGGATCTGGCTGCCTACTCTGACAGTGGTCTGGGGAATCATCACCATGTGTCTTGGCTTTGTGCGCAACTTCGCCAGCTTTGCAGCTGTACGAGCCTTGCTAGGTGTCGCAGAAGGTGGTCTACTACCTGGAATGGTTCTCTATCTTTCGAGCATATACACACGCGGCGAGCTGGCGTTGCGAATTGGAATATTCTACACGGCGGCATCGCTTTCCGGAGCTTTCGGAGGTGAGTTTTTTTTTTTTTTTTTTTTTGGAGTTACCAGCTTAATCTGGTTCTGTTTATCTGACGATATTAAGGCCTGCTTGCTCGTGGACTTGCTGCTATCGGCCCGCGAGGTGACCTAGAAGGTTGGCGTTGGATCCTGATCATCGAGGGACTGATGGTAGGTTTTGGTTTTAACAATGACTACAGCCTTGGCTAAACATTGTCACAGACCGTCGCCGCTGGATCAATTGTGTTTTTCACTCTGCCAAACAATCTAACAACCGCACGATATTTCACCCCAGAGGAGAGAGAGTGGGCCGTGAAGCGTCTGGAACAAGACCGCGGTACAACGTAAGTTCTGTTACAGCACCTTGATGACCAGCTGAGTTGACGGCGTTTGATAGCATGGCATCAGAGCTAGACGAGAAGTTCAGCTGGAACGAAGTGCGCCGCGGAGTCTTTAATGTGCAAGTTTGGCTCACATCTACTGCTTACTTCGCAATCCTATCTGGCCTATACTCATTCGGTCTCTTCGTATGTATCATTGCTTCTATTTGATTATGCATTACTGAATTTTATAGCTTCCGACCATCGTCAACGACCTTCATATTGCGTCAAGCGCCAATCAAGCTCAACTCTGGAGTGTGATTCCATACGCTGTCGCTACCCCAGTCACAGGTGAGCGAAGGAAATCCGTTCTCCCGCAGTCCCCAACTAACCTGCGCCCCCCTTCAGTTCTCGTTGCCTTCCTATCGGATCGATCAAAAGTCCGCGGTCTCATCATACTTGTCGTTTTGCCAATTGCCATTGTTGGCTACGCTGTTATTGCAAACGTACAAGCAGCCAACACTCGATTCGCGATGACGTGTTTGATGGCCCTGGGCATGTACGCTTCTGTGCCATGCATCTTGGTTTGGAACTCTAACAACTCGGCCGGCCACTACAAGAGAGCTACAACTTCGGCGTTGCAGCTGGCTGTCGCAAACTGCGGTGGTTTTGTTGCAAGTAAGACTGCCCTCCACCATACCTGCTCGAGGTAGATTGTCTATCATGGGACCTAACCTCTGTCTGTTATAGGTTTCGTGTATCCCTCGAAGGATGGTCCGTTATACCACAGAGGACATAGAATAATCTTAGGGTTACTATGCTATGCGTGGGTCGCGTAAGTGTCTCCTATAACCGACTGTTGTACATGCACCAGAACTTGAAGCATTATCTAACTCATTGGCCCCATAGTGTCTTGCTCAACGTACTTTGGTGTGCAAAGACCAACCGGGATAAGAAAAACGGAAAGCACAACCAATACACTGGTTATGGAGATGATCGAGATCCAGACTTCAAAATGGTTCTGTAGACAGCCATATGTACCAATGATGAGATACATCCATGACGCACCAACCAATGAGCCCTGAGTACCTCTATAGGCATCGTTAATGAGTTCCATAGATGCTGATGGTAAGTTTAGGCTTGTATAGACTTCACGCCCATACAAAAGGTAACTCTGGTAACGTAAGTAGCTGGAACACTGGCGGGCAGGATTGTCTATTGGTAGCACATTCTTATACTTGAGACTTGTAACAATGAATCACCTGGGGCTGGCAATACACACTCAACCCCCGTCGGCCCCATTCTCCACCAACGCCACTCTCCTTATGACCAGCCAGATGAGCTTGAGGCAAAGGCTTCTCAAAGCTGTTGATCCAGATTGTGCCGGCCTCAATGCGGTCTGCTAACCG